GCCCCGCCGCGCGCGCGCAAGTTGGCGCCCAACTTCCCGGCGGCGGCGGCCGCTCTCCCCGCCCTCRGCGGCGGGTGGGGAAAGGGGCCGGGCCGGCGGGGCGTGGAGGCCGCCGCTGCCCCCGCCCTCCGCCGCTCGTCGCCTCCGTCCCTCCGTGCAGCGCTGGCGGCCGCTGCGAGGGGGCCAGGCTGCGGCGCGGGCCCGGCCCCGCTGCGCCTCACACCGGGGCGGGGGGGAAGGCGCCGCCTCGCCGGCGGCTCCGCTGCCTCCTGACATCCCCCCTTGGCCTTGTGAAAAATACATTTTTTTTTCATTTTTACTATTATTCCCCCGCGGCAGGATCATGCCGGACCAGATCAGCGTGTCCGAGTTCATCGCGGAGACCACCGAGGACTACAACTCGCCCACGACGTCCAGCTTCACCACCCGCCTGCAGAACTGCCGCAACACCGTCACGCTGCTGGAAGAGGTGCGTGGAGCCGCCGGTGTTCCTCCCCCACGCGCCTGCCCTATTAGTTACTCGTTAGTGCCCTGGCCAGGGAGCATCAGTGCTGCCTGCCCCGGGCCGGGGGAGCCGCAGCCGCCGGCACGAGGTTAAATCTGCCCCGCGCTCTTGGCTGCGGGGCTTGGGAGCTCCCTGCCTCGTGCTGCCTGCGGTGGGGAAGGTTTCCTGGGCGGCAGGGTCCGTGTGTGGGTGCCGGRGGAGGGAGGTTCCCGCCGCTCCCCGGTCCAGGGGAGCCTGGGTGGCCCCTGGGTGCAGGGGCGCGGGGCGGGAGCAGCCCGGGCTGGGACCGGGCGCGGCGGGCGCGGGCGCCCGGTGCCGGCAGCGCAGCCCGCGCCGTTCCTGCTCGCTCTCCACCCCGGGCGTGCGGTTAGCGCCGCTTCAGTGTCCCTGCCCCTCCGGCCTCGCTCCGGAGAAGGGCGAGTGTGGAAATGGGAGGATTTACACAGAGCTGGTCTGCGCGAGTGCCAGCCYGTGGCTTGCTGCGCGGGGCATCGGGGTGATTTCCTATGGGCCAGGTCAGCAGTTACTGGGAAACGTAACGCAGAGGACAGGGCAGCTCTGCTGCTCCCCGTGCTTAGCTGAAGGTGCCGGTATAATGGATGCTGAAAGAAGGCAGTGGTCTTGTTTATTTGTTTGTTTCATTTTCTTTTCTTGTTTCATATAGTGCCCTCTTGTTTTGGTTTTAGACTTTTTTTTTCTTGTTTTGCGGAATATGTTGGTATGAGCAAAACATCTGGTATGCAAGTACACAACGAGAAAGTATTAACCACGGCGTCCCTCTGGCAGGCTCGAGGACAGAAAAATCTAACTCTGTAGGATTAAAAATAGTTAATATCTGCGTAGTAGATCTTTTCTTTTTTTTTCAAAATTTCAAAATGTCAGTAGTGCTGTTGTTTGCGATAAGTTATTAGGTGATAGAACGATGGGGCAACTGCCTTTACAATTCTGTGTTTTATTTCTTTTTCAGTGATGTAACTTTGATTAACTTCTGTAACTGCCTTGCTTGTAACTATTCATGCTTGCCTGTAGGTTTGTCAGAAATCAACCTGTTTTGTTTTGTGTTTGACAGAATTGCTGCCCCCTGGTCTTGACTATGTGGAATAGGTGCAGTCAGTGTTCATTTAGTAATAGAGATGACAGCCTGCGTGGAGTTGGGCAAGAATATTTTACAGTTGGCTTGAGACCTCTCTACCTGTATTCTCCCTCCACTGGTGACTGCTAGGGTAAAAAGAAATCATTTTCCTTGCATGGTTTGGGAGATGCATCAATACGTGCTGGGTGTGGTAATGTCYTTAGAAAGAACAAACAAAATGTGGTGCTTTAGATACTGAAGTTATGTACGTACACTGTTCTGCACTACTTTTGTGAAGAGCTAGAATTTTTCAAGTTTAGTGTGGGACTTGACAGTAATAAATCAGTGTAATGGCAAGTGCTGGGCTCTTGTAGTGCTTGTCTTGCTATTCTTGGATTTCTTTTGTGCAAATGTATTTTGTGTACCCTATAGAGCATGTTTGCATCTTAAATTGATTCTGGGCTTGTTTTATATTATTCTTGACTATCAAAATAGGAGAGCTTTGTTTAATTGGAAACAAAATAAGGCACAAATATGCTCTGCTGTTACATGCTGCAAAAATCTGTCACTCTCCCAAATTAGTTTTTGTTATTTGCATGAAGAAATGCAGATGGTCAGAATGTGTCTCCATTGCAGTTTGCATCAGGGGATCCCAGGGACGGCTGCTTCAAAGCTACGCTGGTTTCTGTTCATCCTCCACGTACCTGCGATTCCTGTGAAGCGGTGGGTCGGGATGGAAGGGTCCAAGTGCCTGTTATGTGGCTCTTACTATAGCTGCTTTTGTCTGTGCAGCAGGGATGGCTGAAGAGCTCTCGGAGCAGCTCCTGAACTTCAGATTTCAGCTTACTATGTAAATGATGCTCCCCTCCTTTCAGCTGTTTGATTTTTCTAAATTTAATGCTGCATGTGACTTGCAGCCTTCAGGGACCCTTTGTAGACTGTCAAGCTCTGTGCTGATATGGTCAGCATATAGCCTGAAACAGCTTAGTTCAGTATCTTAGTTTAAAGCTAACTTAATTCAACAGTAATCCTCCCTCAGTGATTATAAGATGGTTTGGGGAGAAACTAATTTTTTTTCTTATTTAAAATAAAGATTGCAATCTTGAGCTACTTAGTGAGCAGTAGGAAAATTAAACAAACATAATGAAACTTAGATCTATATCATAGTCTCTTAGTTCGTTTGGTATAATTCTTACTATAGCTCAAATCAGTAGTTCGATCAGAATCACTTTTTATTAACAATGTGCCAAAAAACAATAGGATTTTTTTTTTTTTGGATTCTTCATTGTTTCTTTTTGTTTGTTTGTTTTGTCTGTATCTTGTTCCATGAAGGCATTACAGACCAGTACATTTCTGGATACTTAGTTGCCATTACCATGTCGATCTTAACTCATTCCATAGTCTATTATATTATTTGGGTTTTTTTTTTTTTTTTTTGCATTTGCTTRAAACCCAAAAGAAATAGTTTGTTAACTATCAAGAGTGCGCTGAAATATGTATATATTATCATATATACATATATGCATGTATACATATTTGTCACTCTGTTCCCATTATAAAGTTATTTTCAAAGGAGATTTTAGATGCATTTAGTGGACCAATTTAAAGAGGGAAAAAAAGAGAGACGGCCTTTTTATTCTGCCTCTGCTCTTGATAAGATTTGAGTGGACAGCCAAACAAAATGGGAAGATATATCTCAAAAAGTCAGAAGACTAGCAAGGATTTTCTGAAGGACTTCTGGGACAGGGGGACTTGTACAAAAAATACTTTATTTAARTGTGTTTTGGTATTATCAAGGGGAAAATAGTAAGAACATGCTGGTACACAAAGTCTGAATAGAAAGTATTAATGCTGGTTACTTAAGCTATTGTAACTTTACAGGTTTCCCTCCTTGGTGCCATTGCACCATGACTGAGGATCTATAATACCACGTGCTTGGATCATGGTGTCCAAGCTTGGGCAACTCATGCTCAAGTAATTACCAAAGAACTGCTAGATTTTATTTATTCATTTTAAATCATAACTGTTTTAAGCCAAAGTGCTATCTGATGTCCATTAGTAAACAGACTTTGGAATTCATTCTTCCTAATGCTAAAGTACTGAATCTTTTCAAACTCCAGAAGGAGGCAAAAAATGTTTTGTTATACTATGGCCTAGTTGTAGTTTAAGATAATTTGAATTCTTGGCTACTTCTCTGTAGATTATAGTATAATATTAAATTTATAACAGTGAAAACAATAGTGACTTCATTTTTCAGCCACAATGCTGTGAATGTTTTTAAATGTCACTGAAATTGAATCAAAGTTTAAGAGGAAAATTACTACATATCTAACATGGGTGGTTAATCAGCAAAAAAAAAAAAGGAACTGTGAAAATCATAAGCCAGTATAGACAGATCACTGATGCAGAGTCTTAAGAGTCTTAAAATACAGCTTTTTCTTTTTGGCAAGCTTTTGTATCCATAGTAGCTCCATGATTTATGCTACTCAAATGGATTTTGAACAATTGACTGTAATGCTTGGATTGATGCTCTTGAGTGAGTTTGAATTTTTAGGGATCGGTGGCATCTGTTCAGAGACTAAGTACCACACGTGGAATCACTGCAAGACCCTTTACCATTCACTGTATCTCAGCTCCAGCTGAAAGGACATCTTGGCGCTTGAAGGATACTCAGTTATCATGACCWGGAAGTTCTAGGTCTGTCTTCTAAACTAGATGTTTTGCTGAACTGTCTTGAAATACAGAGGTTAGGCTTAAGTGTTTATATATTCCCTTCACAGTCTTGCAAGATAAGATGGCAGTACCTGGTTTCGTTGGGATGGTAGAATAAGGAATAGCTGATTTTTTTCTGATGCCTGTTTTAAACTTCTGTAATACTTTAGCATCTTCAAAGATTAATGTTATTCCTAGGATTAGAGGTGGGGAAGGAGAAGATATTTCTGTGCTTTTTTGTTGTTTATCTGCCTGCTTTTTTTCTACAGTAGGCTGAATATGGTTCATTTTCATAGTTTTCCATATGTAACTTTTACCTTTGTACTTTAGCTTCTGTTTAAAGTTTGTTTATTCTCTTGAGGGAGAAAAGGCAATTGGAATGAGGGTTGGGGCAAAAGGTTTATTTTATTGTACAAACTTGTGTAGTACTCACAGCTGTGCAGTCTGTTCACCTCCAGTGGTCTCATGAGCCCCTCCACAAGACAGTTTTCAGTGGCAAGGTTTGCTAACAAGGGAGGCAGAGAAAACTATGCAAGAAAACAGGAGCACTTCCGTAAGATATGCAAGGGAAAAAAAATGGCTGTGTTCTAAATCAACTTCTTATTTCAGTTTGCAATACTGCTAAATATTCAATAGGTGTTCCATTTTATTATGCTAAAACTGGTAAGATCTTTTTTGTGTGGCTCTCAGTGAAAACATTTTTCCTGTCATTTATAGCACCTTGTTTCCCCTGAAGCATTGTCTCTGTATAATTACAGCATGTAAATAACTTAGCATCTTAGTTATATATTTTTTTTTAATAATAATAATAAAAAAGATCCAGAGGACCCTTTTAGCACAGGTTTTAAAACCAGCTTTTCCTAACCTTTTAACTTGCTTTTCAGTCAGAAGCAGCCTTGCATCATGAAATGCTTGTGGCCAGTTACATAAGAATCGACTCYCAGTACAAAGCTATCTTCAGTTTTCATAGCAGCCTGCCTTCGGTAGCAGGGTGTCCTGAAAACGCCAGGCAAGAATAGTTTCTTTGTTTAATAAATGTAGCTTAGGGTAATTATTATTTTAGACAAATGGCCAGTTGCACCAAAGAAGTAAAAAAGGATACGTGTTCTAAAGTACATATAAAGACCATACTGACAGTTTTCAAATGTTGAACTGACAGTTGTTTTCTGATTGGGATACT